CCAAAAAGGGATGATTGAAGAGATGAAGGGAGAAAGGAAGGAAAAGCTTAGCCAAAATGGGTAGAAGCCATTAGGTTTTCTTGGAAAATATTAGCTTCCAGCGGCTATAAATTAGGGCCTCTTCTACCCAACAAAAATCATCCACAACTAGAGAGCAAGCTTCCTCTCATACTTGCAAAAACCAGCAATTTCGTGCACTGTTCATCTTCTGACAAGCTGCCAGAAGAACATAGTTCTTCCCTTTTCTCTTCCTAGCCACATATGCTTGAAAACCTCTTCTTCCTCACCTTAAAAACTCTCTTTTCTCCCTAGGAAGCCATATTTCCTTTTTGGTGCTCAACTCATGCTAATTTTGCTCCCATGCCACAAGCCCCTCATGCCAAACTCAAAAGTTTATCTGTAAGCATGAAGAAATTACCTGTAAGCTGCCATTATTTTGGTTGGTGAAGATAACCAAAATACTTCCTAAGGCTCTACTGCCTTTTCGAGGTATTTTGGGGCTTAATTTTCGAACTCAGGCTCAAGGGGCAATTTCTTCCATTTTGCCCTTTACGGCAGTCAGGCCCGTAGTAGCTGCCGGAAGAAAAAAAGCCCCTACATAAATTGGCGACTTCACTGGGGATTAAGCCACTATCTGCACCAATGCCTCCAAAGAAGAAGACCAGAAGCAGTAAACCGGAGGAAATAAAGAGATAAGAGCATTCCCTCTTTCTTTTTCTTTTTCCTTTCGTTGGCTATCTACTTTGTAGAACAAACATAATATAGATTACTCACATGCTCCCTTTGCTTGTGTCTTAGATCTCCATTCTCAAGCAAAACAAGATCTTGTAAGAGGACTGGGGGCTTCAGCCAACGTGCAAGCCGCTAACCACCGTCGTCAATTGTTGAGGCTAGCTCTGCCGTTCACCTCTCCGCCATGATACATCATCAGCAAGTCTGGCCATCACCGTAAATCACCTTCATAGTAGCCCTCACCTCTTTAGAGTTGTGAAAACACGGTGAGAGAGGGAGAAGGAACACTTGCTCAATGCTCTCAGCCTCATCTCTGCGAATGGCTTCACCAAGATAAGATTTTTATTATCATGCCTTGTTGATCTCAATATAGTATATATATTTGTTTGTCCATAAAATTTATGTTTCATTGAACAATCTCAAGCATAGACAAAAGCATGTGCATTCAAGTCAAAAAAAAAAAAAAAAAAAGATTGATTAGTTGTTATTCATATGGTGCACCAGCTTGCATCATTTTCTTGTTATGTATTAAACCACCTTTCAATTTTGCATCTCCAGCAAAATTTCTCAGGGCCTTATTCCACGCACTATTCACTTATCTTACTTCTTATCATTTCGTATCGATCCACCTTTGTGTTAATCAATCCAAGTTACACATTGCAATGTAGATGCCAACTATGCATGCTCAGTACTAAAATCATACCTGCCCAGCATGCTTATGTCAATTATGTTAGTCATTTGCAAGCTACAATGCTTATATTATTTTTATGCTTTGGTCATGCAGCATTATATCGGTCATGTGCAAGGGACCCAAGCCTCCAAACAACAAACAAGAAAACAAATGCTCTCATGTTTCCTACCCAACATCTCAACACACTGCCATTATCATCTATTCCTTAGACAAATCTCTCTTTATACTTCCAGTCATAGAGGTTCAAGCACCACTGAAAGAGCCGCTGGAAGGGTGGAAGAAGAACAGAGCCAGTCAAAATCCAAACACCATTGCTGGAAGAGTCGCTGCCAGAAGCACATGCTACCACCGAATCATGCCAAACTGTCACTGTTGCAACAAAGGGATATCCCAAGTTCATCATGCCATGCAATAACCCAAACAAATACTAAGAAGGCCATGTTGCAAGAGTTTTTGTAGCCTATGCCCATCAAATCCTTTTCTGATGATTATGGTGCACTTGGGGGCTGAGGAAGGAATTCATTGCAATCACCACGGCAGTGATTCCAAAACCCCAAAGGAGCTTAAAAATCCATTCTTACCAAAACCACTATTCCCAGACCAAAAATCTCCTTGAAATCCCAATTATGTTACTATGACCTCCAAGTTCGCCATCACTTGTTGTAACCCAACACATTTGCTGCAGTGACCACATACAAAGCTCAAGCTCCAATAGCCAAGTCCAAGCTTTTGGTTCCTAAAACATGTTCACAACAACTGCAACAAACAATACCTAAGTTGCCATAACTGATATGCTCAAATGCCTCAAGCACTTTCTAAGCCTTGATCATTCCAATGACCAAGTTTAGGAGTCAAAACCAAAAGGCTATCGGGATGTCTCAATTGCCACAATTCCATAATCAAGCATCATCAAGCCCCGAGCCTTAGTCAAGAAATCCAAGCACTATGCTTTACTCAAGAAGGAAAACATCTCAATTCATGGCAAATGAAAGGAAAATATTGCGAAGGTAGTGTTATGATACTGCTGGAAGAACCTAAATGCTGTCAAGATGAAGTTTATTTTACCAAGCAATCAGAACTTTTGAAGCGATGTCAAGCTTTCAAGAAAAGGGGTGCTGGAAGCGTATTTTCCTATATTCATCCATTCTTCACCTGCAACATCCACCACTGCTTGCCATACTCTAAGGAAGATCTTACACGCCGAGATACATGACAAAACTCTAAGAGGCAAGCTATTGACAAGGACCCCTTGCCAAAACAAAGGGGAAAGTAGATGGCTATTGTCATTACGTGCTTTGATGACTTGCTCGACGACGACGTATTGTGCCACCTGTGGAAGAATGACCCAAAGCCACCGGAGGCTATGTGGGAACCTTGTAGAAATATGAAGGCCAACTTGAGCAAATATTCAAAATCTGCAAGCTATAACACCCCATGGCTACTTGCTAATTGATGGGAGAATGGTTCCAGCAGCGAAGTATTCACATTGGACATGCTGGAAGAAAGCCACTCGGAGGCTTCATTTGGTCATCAAGATTATCAAGAAGCAGCTGTTGTAACCTCTCATAACTTCACAGAGGTTGAAGAAAGTACAATGGGTTAGGAGCTGCAAATCACTCTTTGATTAGTTGGGTTATGAGCTGCAGGCAAACAAAGCAGCAATTGTGGCTCTGTTAAATATCTCTACAGAGCATGGCATCCTAGTACAACACATGCCAAATACATACCAACCTAAGCCACAAGTTTTCATGCTATTGCAAGTCATGCACGACCTTGGGCCCTTTCATATTTGGGGGGCTTGATTTGATTGGAGTATTCATCAATGCAAAGTGGTTTAAGGTCTTATTATTGCTGAATTGCTTTTGCACATATCATTTTGTTTTTGGCTTTTCAAATTTATTTCAAAAATGAACTCCTTATGTATTTTCACCATATGCTTTCACAACTTTTTTAAAATGCACCACCATTATAGCATGCCGAGGTGTAAGCCGATATTTGCAATGAGAATGGAGTATTTTGGAAGAGGAAAAAGCCTCTAGAATTCTTCCTTGCTTTTACCTTATTCTGTTTTACAAAACATGTTCTTTGATAAAAAAAAATAGACAAACAAACTTTTCATTAAAAGGCTAAGCCTCTCAGCAGTAACTATACCAAGCAAAGCCACTTAGATGGGGTCCCGAACTGAAACAAGCATCAAGCCTAAGCAAAACGATGTGGGGTATGCAAAGTCAAGCTATTACAAAGAAACGAGCAGTAAAAGTGTATTTTGAGGTGCTGGAATAACGAAACCGTTGACTCCCAATCGGAATGCTAAAAAAACTTCACAACATCCGGCAATTCTTACAGGAGCCTTCGTGGAAATCATGCATACAGTGGCCTGACCCTTTTTAAGGCACGGAAAGAGGGTGCATTTTAGGCCAAATGAGTAGACGAGCCTTGCAAAAGTTTTAAAGAGCAATGCATCGAAGATTTAGCTTAAAGGTCCTGTCAAAATTTTGGGCAGCATATACCTTGTTTTTAAGGCTTGCCAACTCGTCAGAAAATTTCAAGAAGTTCACAAGAGCAAGTTCTCCCAACCAAGCAATATATATATAAGATGTACGAATTACAACATGCCTCAAGCATTCAGAAATTAATGCAAGTTCCAGTGGTTCAGTAGTACATTACAAAGTCATAATGACATAGTCGTTAGATTATCTGAAAAGTACACAGCCATCCAAAAAAACAAGGTTACACATGCTGGAGATTACTACATCATATGGTATCAAGAAAGATGGAAGCTGTGCACCGAGCCAACTGACCCCAAGCCAAAGAAAACAACCTGCAAAATAAAAGGAGGCAGCACGTTGGAAGATGCAAGGCAGCGCCGGCAGCTATGTCGCATGTTCTGAGAAGAGGATGAGTAGGAGGCAGCACTGCCGGAAGGTGCAGGGTAGTGCCGGCAGCTATGTTGGATGTTCTGAGAAGAGGAGAAGTAGAAGGCAGCATGCTGGAAGATGCAAGGCAGCGCCGGCAGCTATGTTGCATGTTCTGAGAAGAGGATGAGTAGGAGGCAGCACTGCTGGAAGGTGCAGGGCAGTGCCGACAGCTATGTTGGATGTTCCGAGAAGAGGAGAAGTAGAAGGCAACACGCTGGAAGATGCAAGGCAGTGCCGGCAGCTATGTCGCATGTTCTGAGAAGAGAATGAGTAGGAGGCAGCACTGCTGGAAGGTGCAGAGCAGTGCCGGCAGCTATGTTGGATGTTCCGAGAAAAGGATGAGTATGAGGCAGCACTGCTAGAAGGAGCAGGGCATTGTCTACCCCTGTATCGGATGTCCCAAGAACATAGGGGTTATGGGAATCATGCCGCCATGTGCTATTGCTAAAGCCAAGGGGAACACCTGCGTATGCAGACAATCTTGGGAAAAGTCACAGAGGAGGAATTTCCCGAACCATGATGATACAAACGCAGCAAGACGACACTGGCTCTTCGCCTACTGCAACATCTTCACAAGCATTCTTGAGCAATGGAGGGGCCTTCCCCTCTTCAATTTATCATCCGTTGAATAAAGGTGGCCACTAATAATTGACGACGGGTTAGTGGATGCCATGGCAGGTCTTGACAAGCGATGAATCCCTGCAAGAATTGCCAACAAAGAATACGCTGAAAAACGGCAAAGCATAAAGCTAGTTCTCTGTGTTAAAGCCAAGCAATCTCCACACTAGCATGCAAGCCATATGAACTTTACAAGCCAAGCAAAGCAAGCTATCTCATGCCAAGCGAAATGCATAAACAAAAAAAAATATTTTTGAAGCATCATGCAATCTATTACTCGAGCTCATGATAAGCAAATTTCCCATTCCATGCTCAATCAATCATTCCAGCAGACCCTTTTTCACAAAGCAAGTGCTACAAACTGAGCACTATTTACCTCATAGTAACCTTTTTCACAAAAACGAAATACCTACGAGTTACACAGCATCCTTGCAGACCCATCATACACATGTTTATGTCTATCCCTATAAAGCCAAAAAAATAAACAGTTACCCATGACCAAATTCTAAGTTCATAAAAAAAAATAAAAATAAAAAAAGAAAAAGAAACCAATGGTGCTTTTCTCAAAGCTTTCAATAGCCTCTAATCCTATGCATTAATCATACGATTACAAGCATGCGCTCGTGATGCATATAGTTCAACAACAAAAAAAAGCGGGTCAAGAACGCAGCACACGCAAAATATACGCCAAGCAGGGCAAGTCAAGCTCAGGCCAAAGGAAACACTTAAGCAAATACCCAAGCAGCATACAATTATCCATGGCAAGCGAAATTTTCAAGCAATTCCCATGACAAGCAAATTCTCCCTCAAAATGCAAAAGGATTCAAGCATTGTAGAGCATGCACTCTGTCAATTTCTATTTCCACAACATGGGAGAAAAGTCCAAATTTATTCAAGCATGCGAAAAACAAGCCTATGCCAAGATATCAGTCTATATATATATTCCTACAGAGTTAAAAAGAAGGACCTGAGATTCCAGTGAACGAGCAAAGCCCATGGGCATGAAGAACCCAACAAGCCCCTCGATAGATTCAAGAAATTGCAAAGAGGAAAGGGCATACCTTGTCAATCACCTCAAAGGACGACCTCAAATGCACCAAGAAAGAAGGGATGTTGGTGCTGGAAGAAGGGTAGTTGGTGCCGGGAGAAGGGTAGTTGGTGCTAAAAGAATATCGTATCTTCTATTTCACGTTACCATCTCCTTTAGCACCATTGTTGATCTCATTATTTATGCAACCAGCTGACCCATCATTGCAATTATCCCCATGTTTTTGTGCGCAGACTTTGGCACCATCATTATTTTCAGGCATACTTAAGAATTGGTCTTTCTGAAGATGGATACTTCGGCAACTAATACTTGCAAGAACTTCTTCTCATGGCTATACGACAACTCCTGAAAAATCACAAGCTTTATTCATGCAATTGCACTACAGCAAAATTTAAAGCTTTTCAGATAAAACATCTTGCGAAAGGCTTATGGGGGCTTAAGAGAATCCATCATAGCAAACAGCACATGCAAACTCCAAATGACTTGGGGGCTTCATGCCAAGCAAAAGAGAGAGACAAGAATCCTGAAGCTGTTGTAAATTTCAGTTTTCCTCTTGAAGGAAAGCAAACTGTTTGTTACTTATCTGGAGGAAAACAGGCTGTATGAATCTCTTCCAGCAACTCGCTTAGCCTCTTCCTTCTCATCTTCAGTCTACTTCTTCCAAAGATCTTCTTTGAAGCAAGTTGCAAAAAAAAAATATATATAAATTTTACAAGCAGGCCTCTACTTTGTTTCTCGACCCTGAGTAAGCCAAAGAGAATATAACCCAACTCTGCAACCAATTGCTGACCTCAACAAGCTGACTTGAGGGCTTCATGCCAAGCAAATTCAAGGAAGTACACCATGCCATTCAAACAAGCAAACCCATCTACCTTTTTTTGCCACACAGTATAAATCATCTCTTTGATTACAACAAGCCTAGATAATCTTGCATTATGGTGAGAAACAATTTTCTATTTCCCCTTTTTGAAACAAGCCAAGTTACATTCTTCTAGCACCTACTCCATAAGCAAAGAATTTTTATCACCTACCCTATTTCAAACATCCCTCCAGTACATGCCTAATTTCAAACATTCTGCTAGTTTCAAATCTTCCAAAAGCCTTCATATCGCAAGTCAAGGTGCAAGCAACCAAAACTCACCTTCATGCTACCAAATTCCTTGCAAATTAGTAAGAAGATGGCATTTCTCATGCTGTGGAATCTCTCAATCAAACCTGAAAAATAAATAAGGGAGTACGTTGGTCAGATCAGGTGCTGGAAGGGAACTTGTAAACAGAAAGGGGGCACCGGAAGCATAATCGCTATTGAAACATATTTTTTTTAAAAGACAAGTGGCAAGGGACCAAAACTCACTTTCATGCTATCAAAATCCTAGAAAATTATATTTCTCATGCTTTGGAGTTTCTAAACAAAAGAATACTTTAGCCAAAATCAGAAGCCGGAAAGGTACTCATACACAAATGGAGGCGCCAGAAGCATAATTTTCTCATAATGCAAGCAAACTCATGTATCAAGCATTTAACAAAATTCACAAGGCTTGAAACCAATCCACATGCCAAGAAATTTCATTCCATTCAAGCATTCCAAGCAATTCGGGCATTTCAAGCAAATTGAAGAACTCATGCTCTTATGACAATACCTTTCAACATCATGCTGTCACAACAATATTGCTCAAGAACATGCTCTAGCAATACTCAGATCAGCACTCAATGCCAACAAAAAGGACATGCCAAATTCTCAACAAAAAGCAGCATGCCAAGCAAAACTTATACACAAGCTTTCCAACCATCCTAGCTAGAACATCCCACCTTTAGAAAATCACTATAAATCAAGCTTACAACCAACAAATCCCAGACTTTCCAGATTAGAACTAGACATATCAAGCTTCATTTTCCCAAAATTTCGTTGCATTTCAAGCTAGGGAAGCATGTCAAACAGATTTCCAAGACAGCCCACACAGCAGAAACTGTACAGCTCCAGCACCTTAACCCTTACTTTGAAATTCCACCGAAAATTTATTTTTTCTTCAAGTGATGCAAGACCAATTCCAACATAACCATTGAGAAGTCCATTTTTATGTCTCAAAAGCTCCAACTCAGATTCGAAAAGAAACATTTCAAAAGTTCAAAAAGCAGCCAGCAAGCTACTTTGAGATATTTTGACAAACACTTGGCATGCATACCCAAGTGAGCTTGTATAACTCTTGTTTATCACCAAGCTAGAATCCTAAATCAAAAGCTCAACCTTAGAATTTGATTTCTAGTTCACAAATTCTGGGAAATACAGAGGAACTCAAGCATTCAAGCATAGAAGACAAGCATGCAACAAAGGCATCAACATCAACTCATGAACATGCTTTAGAAAAATGGAGGTAGAGAGCACTAGAATGGGTGGATGATCCTCAATTTTGGATATGTTATAGACAACATAATTTCAAGCAAATTTTGTGAAGCAAGCGCAATCATACGAGTATCATAAGTTAAAGACACATGCAGAAGAAAAATCTGCAAAAACTCACCAGCCATGGATGAATGCAGAAGTTGCAAACCCAGCTTTGAGGTATCAGAAAATTTCAAAAAATTCTGCAAATTTTACTGGCTATAGTACTCGAGCAGATGAACAACTTTTATTGAGGAAGTTTTCTGATCCGAGCTTCCGAAATATGACTTATGTACTGATGCACAATACCCACGGGTTTGGGTCTTGAAGAAGAAGAAGAAAGAAGAGAATGAGAGAAAATCAGAAAATAAAGCACATCATGCCAAGTTCAGCCTTTTTATATACAAAAAGAGGTCAGAGCAAGATTAAAGTAAGAAGAGGAAAAGGTAGAAACCCATACCAACAGTTTTGTTCACACGGAAATTGGCACCCTTCCAGCAACTCGAGCAAATCAAAGAAAAGGGAATCCCAGAAGATTAGTGCGAGCCCTTCCTTGCTAGCACCCACGTTGTAAGCACTCACGTTGTTGCAATAACAAAATAGGTCAAAAGAGGGTTTGATGCTTGACAACCAAAACAAAGGGCAATATTCATGGATGAAGGGAACCCAACAAATTCCTCAATAAATCCAAGAGAAAGCTAGAGAAGGGACATACCTTGCTAAAATCCCAACAGGTGACTTTGAATATACCAAGAAGGGAGCGAAATTGAGAATCATAGAGGAAAACCCGCACAAAAAGGTCCCTTCTAGCAACGGCAGAAGGGCTTCTTCGAAGGGAGAAGGGCTGAAGGGGTTGAAATCGACTTGGGCTCTTTTCCCAGCGGCTGGAGGCAGATGTTTTCCATTTGATCTTACTCTCTCACTCAGTTTTGAGCTGGGGGAACAAGGGAAAACGAAGAAAAGAAAAGTAGGAAGAAGTTGGATCTGGTGCAAGAAAAGGGAAGAGAAAGAAAGAAAATAATAAAAAAGAAAGGAAGAAGGCGTTTGGCATTGGGAAACTGCAAATAACCGCTGGGGCCAATTATGACACGTCGTCATTTTGCACGCGGAAAGAAGAGAAGTTCTCTACAAATACAAATCTGATTTTTTTTGGGTCGGGTTTAATTATTCGGCCCATTCCAGCACCTGTCCTGTTTCAAATATCCTTCCAGCACCTGCCATGTTTTCAAACATCCTTCCAGCACATGCCCTATTTCAAACACCTTGCCAGCACCTGCTTTATTTCAAATATCTTTCCAATACATGCCAATGCCAAGCATCCAAGCATACAAGCCCAAAATCAAGCATACATAACTAATATTAGATACACAAGTCAATGCAACTCTTGCAAACCACAATCATGCAAAATCAAGCCTCTCTAGTCACTCAAGCAAATAAATCACGCAAGGTAAGTAGTTATCTTGGGCTAATCCATCAAGCATTTTCTTCTATATCATGCCACAAAATAGGTCAACTCTTGGTAACTCTAGTAAATGACCTCCAAAATTACAGTGTCTAGGAAAGTTCTTCAAGGCAACACCCCTGGTGTTTAAGAAGGATTGGGTTTTAAGCGGGACCATTGCGACCCCTCCAACCTTCCCGAAAAAGACCTGGCTGTAATTTCAGAGACCCTTAACTGGTCATCCTTGAGCTGCTCCTAAACTCATGCCATGCCATGCCACTGCAATTTATTTTAGGCAGAAAATTGATTATTCGGACCATTTCAATACACATTCATGGCCCCAATAATCAAGGGGGCTAATGTTGAGGCCCAAAAAAGTCCACGATTGGGCCCAAATAAGTTTTCGGTCCAATATGCTACTATATTAAGAAACGTCACATATCTGAGTACACGAAGGCTCGTCATATGCGAGTCACACCACACGCGCCATGCCAAATAAATAATTCGTCATGTTAGGAATCGAGATTAAGATTATAAAATGCATTATCTTTGCAAATCCATGCTAATTATCCCGTCAGGCATAATAATTGAAAGCATGCCAAGCGATATGCCATGCCAAGCGACATGCCATGCCAAGTAGGAAATCATTATTACACACCCAACCACGCTACAAGCCTAAGCGGACCCAAGCCACTCGAATGCCCGGGGCTTGCTTGAGTGGGTTGTGGTATGGATGGTAATAAATTGTCATGAGGCCCATTGATGGACCAAGAAGTGGAGGTTCCGGGTTACTTGGGAGCCTCGGAACCCAAGCCCATTTCTTAGGCCCAAACATGTGGGTGAGCACAAAAGGGAAAGTAGCCCAACCAAAATAGCCCATTACTCCAACCAAAATAGCCCATCACTTCAACCAAACTAGCCCAATACTTGATGAAGTTAGCCCATGTACTTGATAAACCAACTTATTGTCATAGAAGGCCCAAGCAACCCAAAAAAATATATCTGCAAATCTTCAGCACATAGCTGAAAACAAAAGCCACGTTGAAAGCCAAAATATCCATGTGTGAAAGCTGCTGGAAAACTCCAGCACATGGGAGAAACAAGTTTCAAGCAAAAACTTCCAAATGACCAAGGGATATTGGAGCGCAGATCACCATTTGAACCAGCATGCATACCCATTCCTTCCCTCATCAGACCTAGCCTTGGAAAAGGAGAGAAAAGAAGGAAGAAAGATGGCTGAAAATAGAAGTCTGAAACAGCCGTGGGAAAGGGGGCTTTGAGCTCCCAAAAATCCCTGATTTTATGCAAATGGGTAGAGTGGATTTCACCAAAAAGGGATGATTGAAGAGATGAAGGGAGAAAGGAAGGAAAAGCTTAGCCAAAATGGGTAGAAGCCATTAGGTTTTCTTGGAAAATATTAGCTTCCAGCGGCTATAAATTAGGGCCTCTTCTACCCAACAAAAATCATCCACAACTAGAGAGCAAGCTTCCTCTCATACTTGCAAAAACCAGCAATTTCGTGCACTGTTCATCTTCTGACAAGCTGCCAGAAGAACATAGTTCTTCCCTTTTCTCTTCCTAGCCACATATGCTTGAAAACCTCTTCTTCCTCACCTTAAAAACTCTCTTTTCTCCCTAGGAAGCCATATTTCCTTTTTGGTGCTCAACTCATGCTAATTTTGCTCCCATGCCACAAGCCCCTCATGCCAAACTCAAAAGTTTATCTGTAAGCATGAAGAAATTACCTGTAAGCTGCCATTATTTTGGTTGGTGAAGATAACCAAAATACTTCCTAAGGCTCTACTGCCTTTTCGAGGTATTTTGGGGCTTAATTTTCGAACTCAGGCTCAAGGGGCAATTTCTTCCATTTTGCCCTTTACGGCAGTCAGGCCCGTAGTAGCTGCCGGAAGAAAAAAAGCCCCTACAACCTTATGTGGCTATTTGTATTTATATTGACCCTTGTAAGTGACGATTTTGATGCCTAAAGTATGAATGCAATATATCATATTTTTCTAAATTTTTTTATTTAAAAAAACCTTGAAATAATAAGAGATTAATTTTAGGAGTTTCAATATTCCAATATCTGTATAAATTAATCCAAATTATTTTTCTTCACTAGAACAATCAATTGGAGAATGGCTCAATAATTTAAAAAATAATTTCAATAATGTATAGCAAAATGACACGTTTTTAATTACGGTTGTGTTTGGTTCATAGAAAATTAAGCTTATCAATGAGAAATTATATTTCGTAAATCCAAACATGGAAAATAGTTCCTGACACATGTGAAAATAACGGTGAAAATGAAACCTTACTCCGCCCCCTGAATTTCATTTTCCCTTCCCATAAAAAGTGGGTCAAAAAAGAGGAGAAAATGTGATTTAACCCAATTTTGAAACCAAAACAATTAAGTTACATCGCGCCACCGCCACGTCATTTGTTAAAGAGGACACATCGGTCTTTCACAAGAATGCCACAATTTCAATTTCAAGCTCCCTCCTCAGTCCTCCTTCCTCCCTCAACGCCCACCCTTCTCTCCGAAAACCCCAAAATCCCAATTCAATGGAGCAGCAGAAGCGCATGGTGAGCAAGTGCCCGGACAACGAAGAGCTCGCAGCGTACATGCTACGGAAGTGGCAGGAAATGGCCGAGCAAAAGCCCAAAGGCATCTCCGAGAACATCGAAATGACTCTTTCTAAGGCTTACTCCAATGTCTGCAACTCCAAGAACCCTATTAAAACCCTTAAAGAGTTTTCCCATATCAAGTGAGTTTTATAAGCTCTGTTTTGATTTCTCTAGAAAGTTTGCATTTATATTTAATCAGGGTTTAATTTTGATCATTCTTGGAATGGAAGATTGTCAATTGTGAGGTTTATAATCTTAACCAATTAAAGCATTTTTATTTAGTTTTATGGACAATTTATGATGCTGAAGTTATAATTTTGGTTTTAGTGGTTTTGATAATATATTTTGTTTAATTTTGTTCACTCTGCCAAGGTATAGTGATTGAAGTTGAACTGTAATTTTTTTTTTCACAGGAGCTTATGTACTTTTGTGGAATAAGATATTCTTGAGATTATGTAACTTCAGCTTATTGTTAATTTCTTGATTTTTAAAATATTTTATTGAGAGTTTATTGTTGATATGCCAAACAAGTCTTACCCAAGAATTTTTTTGTATTGTTTTGGTTACAGTAGTATAATCAATGTGAAGTTTCCTCTGTTTGGCTGTGGAAAAATTGTGGTTAAGACAAAATTTCATTCTTTCTCTTAACCAGGGATGGATCCAGGATTTTAAAATTGACAGGGCTGGACTTACATTAGGAACTAATATTTTTTTCCAAAGTGAAAAATTGTGGAAATTTCAGTGAAGTCTAGTTTATTTCTTTGAAATTATACGTTCCTAAAAAAAGTTCAAACAATATGATGAATTTCATTTAAAAGCAGAAATTTTATACTCTAAAAACTAACTATACCTATTCTATGCATTTTACATAACACTACAAAATCTTAGGTCCATTTTGTAACATTCTTTGCGTCCAGGTTTTAGTTTTCTTAATTACTTAAAAATAGAAGTGACAGTGGGGAAATGAATGAAAAAGGAGGAAGAATGGATGAGAGAAGGGTGGGAAGAGCAAGAAATTAAGGGACCTTTAAAAAATAGAAACGTTTGCATTGTTTGCAAGACGGCTAATGTCACTGCAGCAAATTTAGAAAATTTGTTTAATTTATTTTAAGGTAAAATTTTTGGCCATATTTTTTACATGTATATTAGCAAGTTGGCATTGCCTTGCTCTTGGAGCAAACTTTTTGGACAAAAAATAAAGCATGATTATTATTAGTATGTAAAACAAAGAAGATATGTGTATGCGATGATAATGTTTTCCATTTTTCCTGTCAACAATAATTTTGAATTTCTCTGGGTGTAAGAAACTGCAATAGAAATAGAGATTTCTACTGCATTTACAAAAATTTAGAATGGGCTATAGCCCATACATCCTTGCATTTCTGTCTCTGTCCTTATTCTTACCTTGTAGGGAGCTGACATAATAAGAATGGAATGAGAAAATTGAATCTAATTCATATCATTTTCAGGAAGAGGTCTTCACATTGGAAACTAAAAAAATGAAATCGAGTCATTATTACTTGTCTAGAAGAATAAAAAATGTCTTGATTATTTTGGAAGCTGTTTAGGGGTTTGCAATTTCATGATTTATTTTATTGGAATGACGTGCACCATTCATATGTTGGTGCAGGGGTGTGGGGAAGTGGATTCTGCGGCTTATGCAAGGGTTTTTTGAGACTGGTTCAAGCAGTTCTGAACCAGAAGACTTAACAAAAAAGGGTACTTTTAATAATTCATTGGCTTTACATTCTCTGTACTTGATTTAATGTTAAATTGATTCGATTTGCTGTCGAATATGCATGTGTTTTAGGTAAGAGAAACAAAGGAAGCAGGCGCTATCTTCCACAAAAGAATTCTGTGGCATATGCATTATTGATCACACTTTACAGGTAAACTGGAATGTTATTTAACTAAGTAAGCACTCATTCACAGCTTTAATTGAATGTGCTTTATCAACGTTTTGAAGTTGGAGTTAATGATAAGTTTTTCAGGGGAACTGAAAATGGGAATGAATTTATGCGTAAACAGGAGCTTATTGATGCAGCTGAAGCAAGTGGACTTTCTCGTGTGCCGATTATGTATGTTGTGATTCATTATATCAGTTCTGCAAATTTCTTTGTCATTTGTGTTTAGTTGTGATGTTCTGAGACCTGGTTTGTTCTTAGGCCAGAGAAGGGAAAGGGAAAACTTGGACACTTTGCGAGTTCTGCAAAGGAATGGTATAGTGGATGGTCCTGCATGACAACATTGATAACCAAGGGACTGGTTGTGAAATCAAGTTGCCCCGCAAAGTATGGCTTTTTTTCTTTTTCATTTATATTTATTTGGTTTTACTTTATGCTAACAAGGAACTATGTAAGTATCTTATATTGTTTTTCTGCCTCAAAACTTGTAAATTTGAATGGCAAGATCTCTAGCCTTATGCACTTTTTACAATTTTACGTGGAAATGTTTAGATTGTTTCAGGTGTAATAAATAAATCAAAGTGTCTTTATGAAAGTTGAATTGCATACAAAATCATTCCCCATTAAGAAAATACAGTAGGAAAGGTATACTTTGATGTGAATGATGATTCACAAGTAGACTATGATGTGGAATTTATTAGAATCATTGATGAGTTGTAGTACTTAATTCTTGCCATTTAATAGAAGAATGTCTTGTCCATTGGCACATGGGCAAATATTTCTTTTTAGGTAAATAACATTTGATAAGAGGCTTAGCTAATATATGATTACCAGCTCTGGAACCTTGTTTGTGATATGGTTAGTTTCAATATGAGTTAGTACTTGTCTGTACCAAATTCTGCGAAATCAAGTATTACATCAAGCAGTACCTGGAAGTTGTCAAGTTTCACTTAGATTGCATTTGCACATTAACAGATGTGTAATGCATGCCGACACTGTAGGTACATGCTTACTGAAGAAGGTAAGGAAGCTGCACGTGAATGTCTCATGAGGTCTGGTTTGGCAGAGCCTGTAGAACAATCTGCTAATGCTAAAGGGCCTTCTGTTCTGAATGTGGACAATATTTCATATCAGGGACTTGCTCATCCGGGCTCAGCCACAGAGGTGACATTGTTGCCCACTAATCTAAGTAGGCGGGAGAAACCGTTTGATATTCCACGGGAATACCTTGACAAGGTACATATCTAGCTAGCTTTTAATGTTTATCTTGAATTGTGGACTGGGAACAATAATCAGTTGATTTTTATATTATTTTCTGAACACACTCCTTTCCCAGGTTTAATTAAAGTGTGTGGTCTTAGTTGCTCAGTTCAGTTGATACCAACCCTTTAATATGAGTTTCTTTCTCCCTCAATATCCAGTCATGCCATGGGCTGTGGTTCCCACTTGATTATAAATTGATATTGATATTGGATTTGAAAGAGGAGATTTTGTTTTGGTCATCTACATCCTGGATGGAGTTTGATTTTTTACGTTGTTTGCCTATCTTTCAGATTGTCAATCAAATGAATATTTTGTTGCAGAAAAACAAAGTTAATAAGACAACACCCCCCCAACCCACCAACCCCCCCCGCGGCCGATGTTCTTGTGTATTTGTTCTTAATGGATGCCTTATGTTTCTATAAGTTCATCTTTTAACCATCTAATTTCATAGACATCTTTGTGGGCGTATAAATATGAAATATTTTCAGTTGAATTACAAATAAACATAAACAACTTATTTCTAGGGGTGGGAATAATATTAATGAGACCGAAAATTGTCTGCCTGACTTGATTGACTCGACCCACCCGAGTTGGCTTCCTTTATCTCTGTTAACAGGGTTCAGGGCTGGGGTTCCAGAGCCATTTTTGTGAAATCGTGGAAGTCGACCCTATTTTTTTATTTCTCAAAAAAGATTTTTCCATGTGTTGTCATCTTATTTGATGTCTCTAGACTTGCTGCGGAACCGAAGCCAACCAAATATGGTTTTCACCTGAGACAACCAACCTAGGGGCCCCAGACATTGCTCATCCACATCTGAGGGGTTTCCACCTAATGCTTAGGAAAATAAAAGGATAGGATTAGGGCTAAGGGTATTGTAAGAACATTGGTGAGTCGGTTAAGCAAAATGTCACTCTACCCGAAACAAGAGTCAATAGGTTCAAACATTAGAATTGATTGACATATAAACCCATCATTTTAGGTAATAGTTGATCTCAAAAGCTTAATCATCCATATAGAAACAAGCCCAATGATGTATTTCAAGCTCAATAACCTCAACTTAATAAAACAGGCACATTATTGAGGCCCTGTTCTGTAAGTTTTTGTTTCTGGTTTCCAGTTTTTATATTTTATATTCTCATATTTATATTTACATTTTTTTAAAATTTATTTAAAATATCTATTTTGTAAAATAGATAGTAAAGAAAAGCATGGAAGAAAGGAGATAGATGAGAAATGAGAGAGGTCATGACAAAATGAAGAAGTGTACATAATGCTATATATTTCTCCCCTCTCCTTCACATCTTTCGCATCTGTCATCTCTCTTCTCACTTTTCTTCACTTCTCCTTCCCAATTTTTTTTTTTAAAAACTTAAAAAACAAAAACAAATAGAAAATGTTATAGAATGAGCCCTGAAGTTTTCTTTTAAATTTATCTTTTTGGTGAAATATCATGTCCGGTTTCTATTCAACTTCATAACCAAGTATTTTTGAGACGATATCCATAAGCTTCAGTTGATATCTCTCTTGCTTTTCCTTTCATTTAAATTTTTTTCATTGAGCGTGAACTATATAGAAATACATGAAATGTTACATTGATTTGCTTCTTGTGCACCTGGTCATAGCACTTTGAAGTGCATGTTATAATTATTTGCTCTTTTCTAGGTCAATATTTTGTCTTGATTCATTTTCTCTTTTCTATAGTTTATGCCCATGGGGTATTCTAAGGAACAGATTGTTCAAGCTTTTACTGAAGTTTCAGAAAGTTCCCTTGGCAAGGAAATGTCTTCACTATGGCCATCCGTTCTGTGTCGTCTTCGCGAAGAAGAAGTTTATGGTTTGCATTTGAAGTCTCAGACTTTAAGGAAAGATCTTTGTGCAGAACCAATCACTTACACGGTTGCAGATGGTAAGCTTTCTCTGTAAGATGCTAAGTCATAGTGAGATGCTCCAATTCTCCAAAACCATCTAAACCCCCTTTCTTATAAAGCTCATTATAATTGCTCAGGTCATAGAGATTGTGTAATGAGTTCTTGCGATGGTGGACATGTGGCGAAGATTAATTCTGACGAGCCAGTATCAAAGTCTTTTACGTTCAGAGCTTGTTCATCCTCTGTATGTGATGTGTCAATTCAGTTTAAATACGATGATAACACTATTCCAGGGGCATATCTTGCATATTTGACTGATACATATGTCATGTACCAAGTACTGCATAATGGGGATAGAATCATGGAATTTGAACCATCTACCCCCATTTTTTTTTCCAGCCTTTGAAGCTGAAAGAGGAGTCATTAAGTAAAACGAATAAGTTGTGAAAATAAGTAACCATTCACTTACATAGATGAAACAGATATATTTACTAAAATTTGATAGACAATTATTTTGTTAAAATATAATATAAAACATTTGAAAATGACTCTTGGGGAAAATTTGTACAGAGAAAATTGATGGTTTGGCTTTTCCTTTTCTTGTTAACAAAAATGTGATGTTCTCAGTTTAAAGTACACCAGATCTTATTTTCCAAATGTTATAATAAATAGCGCATTAAAAAAAAAAACTAAGGTTAATTTTATTTGACTGCTTTCATTTTTGTTTCTGTTTTCTTTTTTCAAAGAAAATTTCAGTGAGGCTACCTCGGTGCTTCTGCCAAAATCTGCCTATAGTGCAGAACCTCAAATTTACATGAGGCTTAGATTCGTTGGGTAATTGTTTTTAAATATTGTGGCTTTTGTTGAATGGATTTAGCTCTGAAAATATCATGTCAAATTGAACGCACTAAAATTGTGTTCATATGAGACTTTTACTACAAATAATACTTTAGGGGGCAGATGGTTGTAGACATTTTTTCTTACAATCAAAAGTCATCTTTTCCAGTATACTGTTATATGTTGCTCATTGACTTGTTGGCTTTCCTAGAGTCATCCTGTGCCAAAGCCTACTTTGGATAATTATGAAGCAAGTTCGAGTGTTTTATCCATACCACCTCTAAGCTTTGGGGAGAGATTTGAGGATGCATATGAAGTAATCTTGGTATTGGATGATCGAGAACAATTTGCTACTCAGGGGTCAGTAACTTATGATTTTTACATCTGCCATACTTTTTAAAATGATGAAGCTAGTTAAAGATTGTTGTTATTCTGTCTTGACACCGAAACAGTTTTGTGGTTATGCCAATAATTATCTGGGAAATTCTCTATGAATCCTATTGTTTGCTCAATAGGCTTTGTCCCCAAACTCCCCATTTGACCCTGTACAAAACTGGAAAAAAATAGCCTGACCCCCCAACCCAACAGCAAGCCCATCCCCACCTTTGGTGGCTCCTCACTTTGACTCTGGCTAGTCCCAGACAGGACTCAGCAGTTGCCACTCCCCTCCTTTCTGTTTCTCTTATTCGCACTATCCCCTACTGCATTGGTGGCTAGGGTGGCTGGCGACCTTGTCGCCTTTAGATCTGAAATCGGTGGCAAGGTTGCTGGCCTGCCTTTCCCCCGCTGATCCGAGTGGGAGAGAAAGAGAAACAAAAGAGAGAAAGAGAGAGGAGGGGGAGTGGCAGCTGGCTATTCGCCGTCATCAGAGGGAGGAGCTGCCGGAGGAGATGAGGCTGCTGTTGGTTTTGGGGCTCTTTTGATTTTTATGATTTTTTGTTTTTAGTTTTATACAAAGAATTGGTAATATGACAATTATTACTATAATTTTTTAATTTTTTTTCCATATCCTTGAGAATGCAGTGCAGGACTAGTTTGTTATACGTTGAGCTTTTGCTGGTGTTTTTAACTACTGTGATTAATTGTATATGCTTTGTGATTTTAGATCGCGGTCTAGGAGAATTATTGAGAATGTTCGTTCTCAATTCAAAATCAAAATAGAGGTGAGTTCTTGTAGTCTTTTATATGTTAGTTCTTCTAGTGGTTTACATTGAACATTAACTAGAATTTGTACTGTTGTATATCATTTGTCTGTATTGGTTTCACATATCAATGGCAGTTTGTGGTGCTTTCTTTTATTACCTTTTTGTTTGTTTGTATAGTGTTTGGCATATTTTGCTTCTTCATGATTGAGTCAGTTTGAACTTTTAAATAAATGAGGAAACCTTTGTTGTATCCCTATTAATTTTCGAGTTAAATAATTTTTTTAAATGTACTGGTTCTGTGGATTTTGTTCTTCTCTTGTAGATTATATACCTGTAGAGAACTGTCAATAATATTATTGCCTCTGAGTTATTTACAGGCATTTGTCGTTCTTATGCTTGAAACCTTTTGGTTTGGGGACTGCCTGCATCTATGCTACCCTGGGTTTAGACTTTAGAGTATGTTGTTTTAGAAACGTGTGAGTCTAGCAATTGGGGTACTTTGGTCTCTTCCACTATCCTCTACTGAGCAAGAATCCACCTTGGGATTTCAGTTTCCTCTATGTAGCACTTTTCTCAATGTCTCTTCATATTGTTCTGTTGCTATGCATGATGTGATAGTGATAGACTTGAGAACATTTGCTTCCCATCTTATAGTCCATTATACATATTGTTTTCACTTTTTGCAAAATAATTCAATTGCCTTAATTCCGAACTCAAAGGGTTTTTTTGGCTGATATTCATAAAATTCAGCTGGGATTTTAAGAACTCTTTTAAAAGTATTTGGCTCCAGGAACATTTTCGCTCTTCGGTTCATTATGTTTTGGGTTTGTCGTAGTCTTCTTTAAGTTTGGTTGCTGCTTTGAATCTCAAATTGTTGTGATTATTGACCTAAATGACATCACACGTAGATGTCTAGAATAAAGTGGTGAGTTTTCTAATTGTTACTTTACATTGTAATTAATTTTGGCTTACTAGCTTGAGAGGTACTTGTCCATATTGTTGCTTTAATATCTTCTCCATTTACTGCAAACTATCTGCAAACTATAATTAACGAACTGACTCTTCTACAGGTTAGGAGGTTACCAGTTGGAGATGGAATCTGGATAGCTCGCCATAAGAATCTTGAGAGCGAATATGTACTTGATTTTATTGTTGAGAGGAAGAATGTTGATGACTTACGCAGTTCAATTAGAGACAACCGTTACAGGGATCAGAAATTGAGACTCTTGGTATTGATTCTTATTGGAAAGACTATATGTTTTACTTGTATCAGTTATACGAAGTTTGCCATTATATCTTTCATCTGTTGTTTGCATGCTTATTATCTGTTGTTTGTATGCTTATTATTTGACAGTTTTATTTGAAAACTTGGCGTTTCTCCCGCTTTACCTTTACCTTTACCTTTTAATATCAATCTGCCTGTAGTGCATCTTATTGCTAAATATTAAATTACTAAATTTACATGTTATACAATGAAATGAAGAATATCAGAATAAAAGACTGAAATCTTTTCTTGCGAAGATGGAAAAGTGAAAAATATTGCTATTGGTGATTGCTCTTATTATTTTCTCCCTTCACGTATGGATATTATTATATTCAACGTGACATGATTATCCCTTGTTGGGGATTTTTGTGACATTTTTGTTTGCTCCTATCATAAGTTAAGTATATGCAACCCAAGGATGAAGAATTGATAAACCTAACCATATATCTTCGATAGATGTACTTAGGCCAGCCATTTGGTGTCTGAAATTTAAGGCCAGATGTTCTTGCAGAATTCGTTGTTTGCATCTAATTTAGTTTTTAAGGGAATCAGCCATATATGTCTTTATACATGTACTCGGGCAAGCAATTTGGTGCCTGAAAGGTTTAGGCCAGATCCACTTGCCTATTCTTGGTACCCATCTGCGTTACTTTCATTTTCCCAGTCTTTGTAGACGATGTTGTTTGGTAGGTGTTGAAAATAATCATACGTTTTCTTATTTAAAGTAAATGGATTAAAAGCTTTTATGCATATTGATAGCATCATATTGGGTATGAAGAAAAAAAGTTAAATGATGGGAAGCATTCCTAGTTTAAAGAAAACGCATGAGATAGAGTTTTGAGCAAGAACTATTGAAAAGTAGTATTTTCTGGGGCGATGTTTGTTATGACCTCCCATGCTGGGTTCATGTCTTACTGGAGCATCAGTTTCCTTTTTAACGTGAACTTATTGCTGCAAACTGGGATTACTATTTAGTTTAGCTTTGCTTATGAATGATAAATTTGCTGATTGGTTTAGTTACTTGGTAGAGTACATTAATTGGGATTGAATTTATCTGTTTATGTTAATGCACTAAAAGAAAAGCATGCTTTTAATGTTTGAATATTCTGGACTTTATAAGGTTTTTCATGTGCTTGAATGAGAATAAAGTATCATCCTGTGCAAGGATGGCATGATTCACTCCATAGCTTTTGTTTGAATCATTATAACTGATTGAGTGATGCATTCATTACATTCTTCTTTATGTGCAATATAATGAAAAAGAACAATTGTTGATTTGTGCTTCTCTGTTGTTGGGTTGCTTCTGCCTACTCATGTTAGGCTCTTTTGTCTCATGTCTACTAAAGAAATTTATTTCTTCAAGTGAGCCTTTACATGCGTTTGATGGTTTTGGTTGCCTGAGAATTTGGATTTACTGTTAAAATATATCACTTTGCACATTATTCTGACATGTTTGGTCCTTCAATTGCATATTGTTAGAGGTGCGGGCTAAAGAAACTGATATATCTTGTGGAAGGTGATCCAAATACTTCAGAAGCAGCAGAAAGCATTAAAACAGCGTAAGCATTTCTGTGAATATTCTTTAAAGCTAAATTTACTACTACTTACCATAAACAATTTTAAATCAAATCATCCTGGTTAAACTGGGAAATGAACCTTGCAATATGTGTATCAGCCATAAGTATTTTCAGTGATGATTTTTTCCTAACCATCTGTTTCAGTACAACCTGCATCAGTGTAGTAATAGTTTGCTTTTAAGACCATAAGTCATCCAGAGATTGGTACTTTTCAAGGGCACACATCCCTATTAACAGTCCCAGAATTAGACTTTCCATCCAAACAAATCACTAAAACAAAACCACTTTGCTATACTTTTGAAACCCTAATTTCCAACCTTTAGGCATCAAATAGCCTTCAAAAAGAATATCCAACATAAAACCTTGCTCACTGTCCTATATGGTGCAAAAGATCACCTTTGCCCCTGGCAGATATTCCATGCTCTGTAAGCTTGTGTAAGGGTGCTGTAACAATTTAGTTATTCAATAGGTTTTAGATGTGAAACTTTTATAAGAAAGTGTCATATATTTGCACCTTCTTTGTAGATGTTAGTTTTAAACATCATTTGACATCCTAGGATCCTTTCGTTTCCCGTTTCAATTTGTCTTTCAAGTTTTTTAAGATTACCATCCATGATGTTGCACATCTCAAATTCCTTTGTGTGATAACGGAAAATAAACAATAGAATAATCCTAATACTGATGTCCTAACAATTTGCGAAGAATAACAATAATTATTATTTGAATCCATCTTCAACAGTTATAAATCTCATATTGTGCAGCTGTTTCACAACTGAGATTTTGGAGGGATTTGATGTTCAGAGAACCATTGGCTTGGCTGATACATTGAAGAAGTATGTGTATCTTACTCAAGCAATAACTCAGTATTACAATTCAGAATTCTCTGAGGAACAATGTATACGTGCTGGGGTTTGTCCTCCTTTTGATGAATTTGTTAAAAGGTGCCAAGACCTGGATAAAATGACAGTCAGTGACGTTTTTGCCATTCAGCTCATGCAGGTATGTAATGTTTTTGAGAGAAAGGATTACCATCCCTTATTTGACAAGCAGTCGTGGGTCTACTATTGGTATGTAACAAACTATGTTCCATTAAAAAAAGAATTATGGATAAATTAATTTCTATGGGTCATGCATTGTTTTTTTTCTCCTTTTGGATATATGTGTATATATATGGATTTATAGAACCTAGTAATTAAAAGGTGCATTTCTATAAAGGTAAGTGAAATTTTTTCCCCTTCTGCATGTCCTTTTTAGCATAAGAACTCCATTGAACATAGTACGTGAATGGCGTTTTGGATGAAAAATTGGGTAAATGGTTCCTGATCTCTTTTGAAACAGTATATATGACATAGCTGAGTTATTGCTTAATTTTGAGAACTAGGATAGTGAGAAAATGGTGAACAAACTTTACACACTTCTTAATCATGTATGCAGGTCCCCCAGGTAACTGAGGAAGTTGCCATAGCTGTTCTGGATTTGTACCCAACGCTTTTATCTCTTGCCCGTGCCTACTCTCTACTTGTAAGTCCTTCCCTTGGGTTGGAATTTTAAATGTGTTAGGTAATATCTGTTTTAACCAACTGTGGGTGCCCCACCCTTGGAGAATGTGAAAAAATCAACCCTAATGTCTTGGACATCTAACATGGTCACTGATCTATGGATAAACATGAAACCAAGAAAAGAAGAAATTTCTAGGTATTATAATTTTCCATTTCCATTTTACCTCCATTAATTTTCTATTTTTAAGATTTCTTTAGACTTTAGTTTTTTTTTTAAAAAGATCAACACTGCCTGTGCCATGGTCACAGGTGAGGGAGGAAAAATATCATATTTTCATTTTTTTAAAACTAAATGAAAAGGAAAAAAATATGGGATTTTTGAAATTTGGGGAGTGATTAAAGGCGGGTGCAAATAGGGTCAACTGTTTTTATTGTTCCATCTTGTTGAGTGCCACAGAGTGATTCAAAAGCATTGGTTATATTGCATAACATGTAAGCGAAATAACTATATTTGATGATTCTTCAAACGAAGATACTCTCTGAAAGCGGTTAAAGATATAGGGTTTGTTTGAAGAATTCTGAGATCTCATACAAAATTATTCAGTCCATCATGTTTTGTGTAGTGTTTGAAATTATATGTTGGTATTATATGGTTAAGATTATCCCAATCTTTTCATTTGGAATCATAATTGTCATATGGATGGATAAAATGTTTGACTTTCTAGGGGTGAGAGTTGCAAGTAGCCATTAGATGCCACGCAGGAGGTGTTATATTCTTTTTTGTTTATTGTTTATTGTTTTTTTAAGTGTGCTGCTATGCCTTTTTATGTGTTACAAGTGGGATGTTAAAACAGGAAAAGTAAAATATTTTTCACGCATGCGCAATGTCCTGGGATGACTCATGAGATTCTATTGTTGATTTTCTTTTCTCCTTATTGTTGAATAGAAAATCTTGAAATGTTCCTTGAGACCTGTTTGGGTATGTCACCATTCTTATATAACAATGATATAATGATATAATGGCATTGATCTATTTACCTATACAATCTTCTTTTTAAATTTTTATTTTTTAAAAACATGTTAAAATAATTTATGCTGTATAATGGGTGGTGAAATGAGCAGAGCTGTTTTTGGCACTTAGGTTGTACTCACTCAAGTTTAATCATATGTTATTTACTAGGAGGGCGACGTCCGTGCACAAGAAGAGATGCTTAGAACCCAGAGTAACAATGCCGTCAATGCGGGTGCTAGTAAGAATATATTTCACTTGGTTTGGAGCAACTGATTGTTTTGTATCTCCTATTTCAATTTTTTTGTTAATTTTTTAATTTTTATGGAAGAGTACTCTTGTAAGCTACCAATCTTTCAATGTAAATAACATGTCCAGTTCATTGTTATAAAAAATAGCTTGCTGTACAACGTTTCTGAACTGAATGTCGTTCACTTCAATTGCACTCTTAGGATAGGCACAATCTTCTGCTTGTTCTGCCCAATCCGTGCAATCTAGTTGTATATTCAACTGTGGTGGGTGAGCTGCATTTTGGCTCTATAGTATGGAACGGGTTGGGTTTTAGATTTAAATTTTTCCAAGCAAAAAATATAAAGAAAGCATCAGTCCCGCTCGCCTAAGGACCTAAAAATGAGGACTTTGGAGGAACTCTTTAATAAAAGCCATTGGATATAATGTAAGGGCACATGTTATTAGTAGTTTACACCCTCACCCATACTCCTTGTTTTACCAAAACAGCCCTTTTGAGTCCTAATCTACAAATAGTACAGCCCCGTTTGGTTTACGGAATGGATTTGAGAGGAAATCATTTCCCATGTCATTTCCCAAGGAATGGGAATGAAAGATTCATTTTCCACGTTAGTAATGTCGGGAAAGTAACCGGGAGATTTCACTTTGTTTCCTTTCCCATGTTTGTTTTGAGTAGGAATGGAAAACAAAGTTTGTATAATTTTCCATTATACTCATATTAAATCAAATAAAAAAAGAATGCATTTAATGATACGTTGTAATTATAAATTGTTCATAGGGACAAAATAGTCATGAAAATTGTGTATTGAATGTTGGCTCATTTTCCCAAACTTTTCCATGAGAAGGGAAAACAAAACCCAAGTTAAGAGGAGGGATTCACTTTCCCCCCCTACTTTCCCATGTGCCAGGAAACCATTTCCCATGCCTAGACTTACCAAACATGGGAAAACAATTGAATTCCCATTCCCAAGCCTCCTTTCCCATGAACTAAACGGGACCTAAGGGTAATAATAACAAATAAAAATGAAAACCTAGGGATACACGTTGAAAACCTAGGGAAAATTAGGTGTAGGGATTTCTATCTAGAAGCCATGAGAGAATAAATCATTTAGGCTATGCATATCAAATATGAAATCAAATAAAGGCGTATGCAAGAAAAAGCTAGAGATTTATGCAAGTCTCAACCTAGGTCCCAATCTTGATAGGTTTATGAAAGTTTACACCTTTGACATTAATGTCACATATTAGAGAGAACGTAGAAAGTGAAGTTACCTTTGGAGCGTATCTTGAATCCCAAAGGTATTCAAGTAGAGGAAGTTGTCTCTTAGTTGTTGATTCTCCACCTTGTTCTCTAATAGGCCATATATGATTATGCCTCCCCAAAATATTTTCACCAAGGTAGAATGAGAATGAGAGAATAAGGAACCAAGGGAAGAAGAGGTGCTAGCCTTTCTTCTCTATAGTGGCTAGCCAAGGTAGTGATAGGGAGGGAGGTTTGATATTTCCTCTCTTCCTAAATGGCTAACTTGAAAACCCTAAGGAGGTGTTGTGCTATGACTATAATTATATAGAGACATATTGTCACACATGTGCCACTAAAGAGAACACATGTGTCGCACCCTCTCATCTCTTGGCCTTTTTGGGCTACTTTGGTCTACCACATTAATCTTATAATGTGTCACACTTTGCCTAAGTCTATAAGGTCCATTTTCCTTTCATGTTTAAGTCATATGGAACCAAAACTAAAGTTTTATAACTTTAATTAATTCATTAAATTAATCTAATTAGTTTAATTGATTGAAATCCTTAACAAATTAAATCACTAACTTGTCTAACAAGCATTGGTCCTAGTCAACATTGTGTTGACCACATCAAGTCTTGGGGTCAATAGGTTGACCTTTGACTTTGACCATGACTTTGACTTTGGCTTTCACCAAGCCGCAAAATCATTTATTCTTTTTTCAATTCTCGATACATACCTTTTCGGTGTGCGATTTTATAGGTTATAATTAGTGAGGTTGTGGGTAAGAATGATTACTTCTAAACCGAATGTGAATTGTATACCTTTATACAATTCTCCTTATTGGCAAAGGCTAATTGTGATTAGTCCTTCATGTTTTCATTCGGCAAAGATGGACATTGGAAGAGGAACTGGCAGGCTTATCACTTTGCTGTTTAACTCTAAAGAATTGTTTATACATTACTTGAGTTTGATAACAATGATCTATTGTAGCTCATGTTGCTGTAAAGACTGGGAACACATAAGATGCTCATGAAGGATGATCGTGTTGAGATTTTGATCATTTAGCATGCTTCTTTGTTCACCTCATGGAGGTCTTAATAGTACTTATGAACTTATTTAGTATATTTGGTTATGTATAAAGTACTTATTTACTACACTCATGTTTTAGAAGATAGTCTTATAGTTTGTATGATAAAACCACTAGGTTGCTTATATTATATATATTATATATATATATATATATGACTATTTGTATTATGGTAATATGATGTTTGACGTCTTTATGTTTTATGAGATAAATGTATGGTAGTTTTACTTATAAGTGTCAAACAAGTAATTCTAAGTTGCGATAATACAAATTAGTTCTCAGACCTAAGACATCACAGTTGTATTATGGACGAGTCATTTATCTTTGAGAACACTATACAGTCACATTAAAAGATATGACTTAATGGGTGCTTATTGGGATATGCAGCCAGTTCACAAAGGCATGTGAATGTATAATAAGGAATCTCTACTTTAAGTAAAAGGGAAATACTCTATAGATATGATTTGTTGAATCTTTGGCCAAAATATAGGATGAGAATTGAAACAAGAATGTTCGCAATCAGATTCAAGTGAATCATATAACCCAGAAATGTCGCATTAGGGATTTGACACGAGTTAACCTTATCACAATAATGTGACATAAAGTATTATTTTAGACAAGGACTGAATTGCATTATAATCACAACTGAATAGGTTCTCCAATGAATTCTATTTAGCTTGGGTAGCCATGACATACTGCTCAGTGTCAACCATGGTTTGTGAAAGTCCTTTAAGGCGTAATTACAATTAGTCTTCACCAATGTGGGAGAATTGTATGGAGAAATACAATTCATACTCAATTTAGAAGAAGTCGGACTTACCTACTACCTCGCCAATTAGAACCTATAAGATCTCGTACCCTGAAAAGGATTGGATTAAGAATTATATGAGAGAAGGGGGATTTTGTGGCTTGGTCAAAGTCAGAGGTCAATTGTTGACCCAACACTTGACACGGTCAAGAATGGTTGACTGGTACCAATACTTGTGAGACAAGTTAGTGACTTAATTAATTATGTCATTAAACAAAGGGTAGGGTGATTTTCCCACTCCCCTTTTATCCACCTACACTCCATTTTGTTTTTCTAAAAATACTTTTTACTATAAGATAAAAGTGAGTGTAAGTGAACAAAAGAGGAGTGAGAACATACATACAATTTTTTTTAAAAATGGAATGTAAGTGGATTAAAGGGAGTGGAAAAATCAGTACCCTAAACGAATTAAACAAATTAGAATAGTTTAATTTAATCAATTAAGTTATTGAATATAATTGGGTCCCACATGACTTAAGAAGGGAGACTTATAAATAAACCCAAAACGAGTACAATATTATAAAGAAGGACAAAATTAAAGTGGTTGGACAATAATGCCCTTATTCTTTTCTAGATTTCCTAGGGGATCCTTTAGCCGTATGAAACTGAAATCTTTCTTCTTTTCATATGTTGTTGCCGTATGGAGCCAAAAATTTGGCGGCTGTTCTGCTGGATGGATTCTTCACGTGGTCTTCATGCATCCATCATGTTATCTATGTTGTGTAGCTCTTCTTCTCTTAAGCTATTCCAATATGAGTTGTCATTATCTTCTGCTGTAATCTGTTCTGCTATCTGGTTGTAGATTTCATCAAAAACTTTTGCTCCTGTAGTGCTGATCCTGTATTCATATATATCATCTGGTTCCTGGATGTGGATTCTGAATACACCTTGATAAATTTGGATGGTACAAGAGGGTCAGACGATCATCATTAAATAGCTGTTGCTCGGCTATTATTGCTTCTCTGTATTGTTGGATGTCTTGCTTAGTAGGCATTCCTGTTTGTGCTGATTCTCCCGGACTAAGTAATTCATCAAAAGAAATAATAATCCTATGTTGTGCTAAATCTGGGTAAACGCTATCTTTAAACCACTCTAGGGGTATACTAGTGAAATCTAATTTTACATTTTTCCAGAGAGGCAGATAAAAACTTATAATTTCTCTAAATTTTTGGGAGAACGAATCTAAATGCTCGCTTTTTCAATATAAGGTTTCCCTAAATAACCATATTGTGCTAATAATGCTGGAGTAACTACGATTATTTTTTTGTTTATGCTCTAAATGCAGTTCCCTATATTCAATCATGTTAATGCTGGCTAAGTAAATAGTGTAATGGGAACAGTTTTTGGTAATAATGGTGATGCCAGGATGTGGATTACTATTTAAATTGAAAAGAAAAGCTTGAATATAAAGTTGAAGAGATGTATTTTGCTCATATTCTAATTCAATTATGTGACTCTTAACATCTACTGGTAGAAATTATACCTTTCTCTAGCTAGAGTTTGAAGAAAATAGGGATTTTTAGATTTTTGCTCAAGTAAAAATTCACTATTATGCTCAAGTAAGTTGGGCTTATTAGCCTCTTCTTGTAGAATTTGACATCTTAAATTAATAATTCTAAAATGCTTAACTATTGTATCATATTCCCCTTTTTTGCTCTGCATATTTTTCCTGCAAAAAAGAAAGGTGTTGTTTTGCTATTTTATAATCATAATTATATGCTAAAAACTCTTGCTCAAGGGCTCTAATAAGCTTTTCATGCCCTCTTCTCATGCTTTCAGTATTAGTTCTAATATTCCAAAAGTTATCTAAAGAACTTTTTGTTTTTCTGCTAATGATGCTTGAGTACGATACTTTAAAGAAGGATTTCTAACTTCTTGTACTGATATTC